AAAGTCCTATCGTAGCACCGAAACCGCAAAACCTGCAGAATAGCGCGCGGCCAAATACCAGCGTGTATGGCCCTTTCAGGGTCCTTTTTTATAAGGGTGCCGTACGATATTGGGGACCTAAAAAGGAACCCTAATTTAGAAAACTACCCATACACACCCCTGTTAATTCCCAAGCCTTCAGCCCGACATCCTAATCCACACACACCCCGACCCCATACACTGCGACCCTGAACCCTAACCAGGCCTCCGCAGAAGAGCTGGTAGCCCGCGGGGAACTCATTTTCAAGGATTTGTTGGGAGTGGCCCTTCTTCGGGCTTGTTTGGGGGGTTTGAGGACCTCTACAAGGGTTGCCACGCGGGTTGCTGTAAGGGTTACTAGGAAGGTTTCTGTCGGGCATCTAAAGCTTTACACGGTTCCATTGGGAGTTCTGCAAAGAGATGGTCCGCGGTTGAGGGCTCGCTGCTTGAGGGTTTTTGGCTTCAGGGGTTTAGTGGGTTGTTGAGATTTTGAAGTTTAGGGTTTAGGGTTTCGCAAACAGTTCAATCAGCCCAAAGCAGATGTCGCCTACAGACTTCTGACCCCAAAGTAGATAGTGTTTCGGTCCTTGGATTCTTACGGTACTTATGCGTTGTGCCCGGTGTTGCAAGGGTTTTTGTTCTTTCAGTCGTGTAGTGTTTTTCTGGGGTACCTACGACTTGTCTCATTCAGATTCGGGATTTGTAGAGGTTTTGGGCCGTTAGGGTTTTGGAACGTTAGACTTACGGCCTACCTGCTACCTGTAGCCGCAGCCCAAAACCCTACCGAAGAGTGGGCCACCACATGCCACGACCAATCAACTGCAGGATGTAGCCTTGCAAACCCCTAAACCCTAAACCCTAAACCGTTTTCAGAGCCAAAGGTGGGCTTTCGAGATTAGGGCTCGGAGTTACACAACCTGGAACCATGAAGCAGCACCGTAAACCCCCAAACCCGCAAACCCCTAAACCTTAAAACCCCTGAACCCCCAAACCCCTAGACCCCTAAACCCTAAAACCCCCAAGCCCCTAAACCCTAAACCCCCAAACCCCTAAGCCCCTAAACCGCTAAACCCTAAAATCCCCAAGGCCTTAAACCCTAAACCCTAAACCCCCAAACCCCTAAGCCCCTAAACCCTGAAACACTTAACCCTAAAACCCTAAACCCCCCAAAACAACACCCAAACCCCTAAACCCTTAAACCCTAGAACCCTTAAGCCCTAAACCCAAAGCCCCAAGACCTTGGCCCAGATCCTCCAGGTCGGGTTTGAAGCCTGAAACCCTAAACTCCAGGCCCGAAGCCACGCTTTAGGGTTTAGGGCTTTGGGCTTTGGGCTTAGGGTATAGGGTTTAGGGTTTAGGGCTTAGGGTTTAGGGTTTAGGGTTTAGGGTTTAGGGCTTCGGGGTTAGGGCTTAGGATTTAGGGTTTAGGGCTTAGGGTTTAGGGTGCCAAAACCCCGAACCCCCGAGCTTAAGCCCCGAACTTTAGATAGTGGGAGCTAAAGCCCTGAGCCCGAAGCCTATAAGCCCCAAGCAGTTAATATAGGGGCCTTAGTAGTTAGAATGGGGTGTTGGGGTATGTTATACTAATAATTGGAAGAAGGAACCCCCGCAATAGTATAGGTAGTTCTTTAGGCCCCTACATTAAGCCCCAAAGAGTTAAACCCTAAAATTGAAACTCTAAGCCCTCAGCCCCAATCCCTCGCTGGAGCCCCAGACCTCACAAAACTCTTCTTTACCCGAAGCCCTAACTTCTGAACCCCAAACCCTAAACTCTAAGCCACGACGCCCTAAACTCTAAACCATAAAGCCCTAAGCCCTCAAGTTTAAGCTCTAGAAGCTCTAAACCCTAGGCCCGAGGTTTTTGGATCTTAAATCCCCTCAACCCTAAACCCTATATCCTAAACCCTAAACCCTAAATCCTGAACCTTAAACACAAGGTGAGCAGGAACTCCGAGAAGAAGCGGGGCAGCAGGGATCCATCCAGGTGGGGTTGAGGGTTTAGGGTTTGGGGTTTTGGGTTTTGGGTGTGGGTGTGTAGGGTTTTGAGGTGTAGGGTTTCGGGTTCAGTTAGGAAGTTGATGGATGTGTGGAGTGTGAATTGTGGATTGCATTCTGCACTTTGTGGTATCTCTTTGCGCTGTAAACCTTGTTTTGAGATGGGAAAACATATTGAATACGTCCCGAAGGGGAAATAAATCTGCATTCAAAATACGATCTCCAGAACCAAATAATCGGAAATGGGGAAGAGCAATAAGGGACACACAGGCGCAATAAATAGGGGGAAATTGGACCCATGAACCTCTCGACGTCCAATGTGTCCTATGTTGTTTTGTTGTACTACTTGTTTCCCATGTGGGCTTTTATTTCAAATCCTTAATAAAACCCTATACATACACTCAAAGCCCTAAACACCGTAAGCAACCATAACCACATAACACCCTACGGCCTAAATCCTAAATCCAAAACCTGAAAGAGGCCGGCAGTCTTAGGTTTGTGGCTCGTGGCTTGTGTGTACGTGTTGTCGATGTGGGAGCTACGTCAAGTCAGGGTCCCTTGTTTGGGTTTAGCGTTTGGGGTTTAAGAACCTACCACCCTAATCCCTTAACTCCAATCTAGGTGATGTTGGGGTCCCTCATGCCTGATTGCTCGTGCCTTGCCGGTCTGGGCTCAAGGGTTTGCAGATTTACTACGGATTCTGCAAGTTCTTATAGGGCTTAGAGGCTAGTATTACTACGGTCTATCGCAGAGGTCTAGTAGAAGAGTAGGCGGCAAAGCCTGAAGCCTTTGCAATCCGTGTAAGACTTTACAAGCGTATTGCCGCGACCCTGCGCGAGTAGCAGCCAGAAAGGGAAACAATACCCTAAGGGTCCATGTACCCAAATAGTAGGGCTCCTTTAAGGGTTGCTTTAAAGGGTTCTATAAGGGTACCATAAGGGTTTAGGGTTTAAGGGTCCATGTACCCAAATAGTATATACATTGGCCCCTTAAAGTACCTATATAGGGACTACTTTAAGGCCAAAGTATATACTATTTGGGTACATGGACCCTTAGGGAATAGGAACAAGAAACAACTGTTCGGTGAACGCGAGCTTCACGGCGCACACCATGTCGATTACGGTGGAAGTTGGGCTGATGAGTGGCAAGACAGCTACAGTACAAGCAGACCCGGACGAACGGGTAGGAACCTTGAAACGTCTGGCGCAGATCGCTCTTGGAGTCAAATTAAAAAGGGGAAGGCTTCTGGACTCGTCTGGAGTCGTTCTCGATGCATCTGCACCGATCCGGCAGGCAGTGCAGAATGGTGACAGTTTAACCTTGCATGTAAACAGCAATCAGGTTCAGTCCTCCACTTACGCTTTTGCGGCCGTTCTTGGCGACGGATCGGTCGTGACCTGGGGGGATGCTACGCATGGTGGTGACAGCAGAGCTGTGCAGGATCAGTTGAAGAATGTGCAGCAGATCCAAGCCAATGACAGCGCGTTTGCTGCCATCCTTGGAGATGGATCTGTCGTCACCTGGGGTGATGCTGACCATGGTGGTGATAGCAGTGCTGTGCAGGATCAGCTAAAGAATGTGCAGCAGATACAAGCCACTACGATGGCTTTTGCTGCCATTCTTGGCGGTGGATCCGTCGTGACCTGGGGTGATGCTGACCATGGTGGTGATAGCAGTGCTGTGCAGGATCAGCTAAAGAATGTGCAGCAGATACAAGCCACTACGATGGCTTTTGCTGCCATTCTTGGCGGTGAATCCGTCGTGACTTGGGGTCATGCTCAGTATGGGGGTGACAGCACTGCAGTGCAGGATCAGCTCAAATCTGTGCAGCAGATCCAAGCCAATTTCCACGCTTTTGCTGCCATTCTTGGCGATGGATCTGTCGTGACCGGGGGTCATGGTGAATGGGGTGGTGACAGCAGAGCTGTGCAGGATCAGTTGAAGAATGTGCAGCAGATCCAAGCCAATCGTCACACTTTTGCTGCCATTCTTGGCGATGGATCCGTCGTGACCTGGGGTGATGCTGAGGGTGGTGGTGACAGCAGAGCTGTGCAGGATCAGTTGAATAATGTGCAGCAGATCCAAGCCAATGACAGCGCGTTTGCTGCCATCCTTGGAGATGGATCCGTTGCGACCTTGAGTCATGTTGACACTGGTGGTGACAGTAGTGCTGTGCAGGATCAACTGAAGCATGTGCATCAGATCTGAGCCACTGACTGGGAGCGCTTTTGCTGCCATTCTTGCTGATGGATCGATCGTGACCTGGGGTGATGGAGCTGGGGTCATGACAGTAGTGCTGTGCAGGATCTGCGGCAAAATTCGCAGCAGGTCTAGGCCTCTGCGAAGGCTGTTGCTGCCGCCATTCTTGATACTGGATCCGTCCTGGCCTGGGGTGACGTGGACCGCAGGGGTGACAGCAGCTCCTCGCATGAACTGTTGGACAATGTCATTGTCTTCTAGTTGGAACTTGTTCATAGTGATTACAGTCTGATGCAGCAAGTGTTTGCTAGGACATTCTTTTTCGCTTTGGCGAAAGACTTGCAGCACTTGTTCTCGTGCAAGGTTCCATATGCTCTCCCCACTCCCTAAGGGTCCATGTGCCCAAAAGGTATATACATTGGCCCTAAGTACCTATATAGGGACTACTTTANNTATTTGGGTACATGGACGCTTAGGGACTCATAGTTGAGCTTATGCAAGTGGAGTTTGGGATCTCACCATATATTCGTTTATGTGTTTCCTTGGCTTGATGGGCATTTCCTCTACCCGTCTTACCTCGTGCAAACTGCACCACAAGTTTATGGTTCTCAAAACTATACTAACCCTACGCATATCACCATCCCAAGCCGATAGTCTTCATTACAAAGGACCTTATGGGTCATCCACGACTGCTACGAAACCTCTGCATCGACACTCCAACAGTCTTTGACGAAGCTTCAAAAACCCAAGGGCCGACTAATAGCCCTAAGCGAATATAGCACCCCCAAACGAGAAAAGCTCCTAAACCCTAAACCCCTAA